CGTTACTGGAACCCCAACTCGCACACGTAGCTGAAGTTGTGTGGATTTTGTTTGAAGGGATTTATTATCTCTACGAATAAAGTTATACAGTAAACCCATAGCAAGCGTTTCAACGAATCTGCATGATTCTGACTTACTTCTTTCTCCAGAAAATCTGATCCAAAATCCAACAGTCGTTGCTCCGGTTCCCGCTCTAACTCCTCCGCTAGATTTGGTTCAAAGTAAGCCAACAATCTCGCTTTACCTCTGACAATCTTGAACTGAGCTGGGGGAATGTTGTAGTTCGCAACCGTGGCCAATTCCATCGTGCCAATTGGAGGGACGCAGCCAACATCAACCTCGCGAACATCAGACCGCAGCAATCTACTGTTGCTGTTACCGGAACAACCATGGCTGTCCTGCGCAATAATAACCCTGCAACAACGGAGTGCTACGCCTTGATTATTGAACCGTTTGTAATTTCAAAATCTTGCGACTACCTGCCGATGTTCGATGTTACGCGTGAATCTTCAGCCAAGGTGTTCGGTTCATTGCTCAAATATAAACTCAATTGGCCTACATTCACTACTATCTTCTAGAGCTTTTGGAAGCGGTAATGGCGTGTTTCAATCCGAGTTGGGAGCAAGACTCGGAGGCAGGACTCGATCGGTACGTGTTTTTTTTTTGTCTGGTTGTTTCTTTTCAATTCTGACCATATACATTAGTCGCGACATGCGCGTCTCCCGAATGAGCAATGTTCACATTCACATTCCACCGCATGCGACTCTTCGTGATGTGGCGCAGATAATTTTGAAGCTTACTGTTCAAAATCCCTGACTCACTGTACAACTCAAAGTTTCACAACAGAACTGGAGCTCAGCCTCCGAAGAGCGTCATTTCCTCCAGGTCAAAACGAGTTTAGCACGCAAATACCAGCGTCTCCGACGGCTCAGTTCTCAAGAGGAGCTGACTTCGTGAGTATTCATCATCGTATGCGACATAACTTTAGATAATTGAAATGTTCATCTCAGTCTCGGGTGGTTCCCGCCAGTTGAAGTCCTCCTTTGTTCTCGCTGCTTCGTCTGTGTCAGCAACCACCAAACCAAGCACAAAGGTCACTCTTTTCTTCGCCGAAATTACTTCAGATCGCGATCAGGGACTCCAACACATTGAATGGATCGCCGAAAATTCAACCCCACATACCGTTGTCATTGAAGACAGTTCATTCAACAAAGGAAGGTCAAAGCTTGCATTCAAGGCACGTCTTTCTCTTTATATCTTGTCTTATTTACCTAAATTCATGGGGTAGACTATTGTCAACGGGGAAAACTATGTCTCCAAGCGATGCTACACTATTGGCGACAACCTTCCGATGTCCATTCTTGCTAACCGTGACCAACTCGTGAAAGAGGCCATCACCCTTGGTCGCGCTGAGTTTTTCCTTGACAATTTCAACAAGGAATGCGAAAACGACGGCGTTGAGATATCAGGTCAGTTTCTCGTTCTGAATTTAGTACTACTTACAATTGAACGGTCTAGAATTTAAAGTTACCGACTTCATTCTCGCCCAAGAGGGCACTGCCTGCGTCAACGACCGCTTCGAACCTTCTCCAGCTTCCGGTGTCGATTCAGCTCACTACCTCACTCTTTCCGACGTGGAGAAAGACAAAATTACTTCCGGTACTGCGGTTATCTCCTCGATTACTTGGCTTCTCGAGCGAGAGAGAGGTGATGTTGAACTTCGAAAATGTTCCGGAACCTTGGACCATCCGCGCTATTCTGACAAGCAAGGCGCAACTATCAACGCTTTTCAGCATTTTACCTATCTCTATTCAAATGAGACTCTTGTTCTCGCCGATATTCAAGGCAAGTCTAATATTTTCACGCCGCTGTATCTGCACAGATGTACTGATCCACCTACCAATTCCAGCCTCAGAAAGTCACGATCCAAAGAGTCAAGCGGCTATTCTGTTTGATCTCATGTCTCATACATCGACTGGGTACACTCCTTTGAATTGATTCCCCTGCCAATTCTCATAATCAATTCAGAGACAGTGGTGCCGGAGACCACGGCGAGAAAGGGATCCAAACATTTCTGGATCAGCATGAATGTGTTCAAAAATGTACACTACTTTCCCTTAAACCCCTTCAAGAACCTGAAGCGCTGGATGCCGATGAGGAAGACAATGGCTCCAATTCCGAGTAGTATTTAGCCTAAATTTGTGGCATTCAACTGCTTCCTACAAATAAACTTACTGTATTCAACTGCAAATTAGAATCTCTGGTGGTTAGCATAGACCTGCAGCATGCAACAGCCTTGAGTTGGACCTTTTTCCTGTATTCACATCATATTCAACTCAATGTTCAGATACTCTCCCTAACCTCGCTGTTTTTGCCTGAAAGTTGTAGAGAAGACTTGAAAGGTATTGATCTCCATGTAGTTCCCCACAGAAAAAATCAGACTGCCTTTGTTGTCGTTAAACACGAAGAGAAAAGGCAAGTCAAATATGTCATGTGATCGCGTTGCGCTGCTGATTTGCCATCAAAGCTCACTATTTTACGTCCCTCTGCATTGTAACGACTTTCGAGGTAGAACATATCATTTATCAATGCAATACACATGTACCTAAGCCACAGGCCCCCGCCAAAAGATGCCCATGGCAAATTGGCACTCGGTTTTGTGTATGAGGTGAGCTAGTACAGCCACTCGGCCAGTACCCGAAGGTCCGATGACAGAAATCAAAAATCAAAATCAACCCCGGCCTTCCCGCCAACCGTTGACCTGGAATAAATGGAGACGGGAGGATGCAGAGGAGCGGATCTCTGATGCACAGGCCATCCAACATGAGCGGGAGATGGAGCAGAAAATGCAGTTGATGTTTGGTGTGGGGAAGGAGAAGATGTTGGAGGCCGAGTACGGGGCCACCTAGGTGGGGATGACACCCATGGCAGCTGAAACTAACACATCTTTCTCTAGCTCGTCCTGCTGGAGCGCCGCACGGGTGCGCAAGGCTTTGTCGTCATTGCTCTGAGTTCTGTGAACTCGACAATCCACATCCACACTCTCGGCTCCGAAAACAGCCTGCGGTTCTTCCCTGAGCAACTGCGAAAGGAGGCACAGCAACCAGTGAGGTTTCAAATGAGTTGAGTCAGCAACTCAGTGAGTGTCATAGTTTCTGTTGGTTACTTTTTCTTTCTCACTGCTGCGATCACCGGCTTCCACTACTCCTCCATGCCCTACTCAACCTTCAAGGCTTCAGTTAGCGCTGCGCATGGCATCAACATCCAGGACCGGTGGCCTGATGAGGTCCAGTGGGGAACTCCTTCTAACTTCAGCGGCCCTGCTACTCAGCAATTGGCGTATCTGGGACCTGCTGTTTAGCATCATCCCGTACTTGCTCTCTCTCTCTTTCTGTCTCTCTCTCCCATGCCTGAGATAACAGAGGAGAATACTTTTAGAAGATAGCCAGCCAGGTTTATCAAGGTTGCTTAGCTTGTGGTGCAATGTGAAGGACAATGAGGTTGACAATATGAAGGCTCAGGAACAGCATCTCTTGGCATATTCCAGCACCCTCAGCATGGCTGTTACGCCCATGCAGCTTCACCCGGTCATCCGGCCATCCGTCCCCCGGCCTCCGGCCAACTACTACTTGTCCGTCCTTCTGTGCTCCGGTTCATCCGTCGAAGCATACACCCATCGGGTTTTCGCAATGAAGGTCTTCTGAGCGTTCCCGAATCAATCCCATGATCTATGCCTGTATGCTTCTCTCTTATTGTCTCTATTGTCTTTATTGTTCTTTCGCTTACAACTCTTATTGTCTTTACTTACTATTACCTTATATGGCCTTTCTCCGTAATACGTATATATACCTATCTACTACGTCTTGTAACTTCAGTTGAAATTTAACGTGCTTTGCCTCCGCATTGCTCCGTGGTCAGAATCCTCTATCTTCTTGGAAGTCTAGTTAGTGGCGTACCCTTAGCCCCCTGTGGTATCGCTTCACCCGTCCTCCGTATCCGTCCTCCGTCTCTTCCGTCATCTCTGTCCTCCGGCCTCCGGCCACCCGTCCTCCGTCCCTTTGTTCGACACGGATATAACAATGGCTATTATCAAGGAATGCACAATAGGCAACGAGGCTTCACAGACTGGCAGACACTATTTCTGACACTTGTGGCTTGATGATACAACGGTAGACAGTCATTCTCAGATCATGTATACCTAGTCATTCCTTTGTAGGTCTGGCAAGAATTTCCTGCTAAGATCAAGAGTCAGATCTCCGGAAATTATACTTCATGGAAGAAGTCCGTGAAGGCAATTACAACTTTGGAATATGGAGTACAGTGCATACCTTCTGATGGTAAGCAATACTTTCACAATAATCAACATCCTCACACTTTTGTGCAGTGCCTCCTTGTCCTTGGTACAAAATTCCCACTGCGGGAAACCTTGCATATGATCTTTCCTCATCAACACAACTGGCTGTAAAACTGAATCTATAAATACAGATAGACACCCCACAGTCAACATTCCCCCTGCCCTAGACACAGTTTGGGAAGATCCAATGCCACATCCTCCCCCGCCTCGACCGTATTTGGTGTCAGTGTTTTTGTTTATTTTATTGTAAAAGTCTCAACTACGAGAACAGGGCCTCCATGCATGACATGCATGGTGGCATGGTGATGTTCTGGGGTCAGAGGCCCCCCACCCCCACATTCTCAACACATCAAGGAGACCAAGAAGTCAAAGATGAACAGGAATTTGTTGTGGGGACCTTGAGTAATAATCCCCTTCTCTGAACCCCAGGTCAGATGGCTGCACAGATAATAGAATATTGCTGTGTGCATATATAACATATATTACTCATATGTGTACAGTCAGCACACATGACCATCAGGAGCGGTCTAGGATGGCGCATACTCCTGACAGCTTTGATCATCGCCAGTGGAAAGATGAGCACACAGCCAACAGTTGACATACAAGGTCGCCGTCGCTGCATGGCCAACGGGGCTGGTTGGGAAAATGGCTGACACAGGATTCGAACCTGCAACCTTCTCATGTCGAGATGCTCTAACCCGAAGGCATCCAACTGAGCTATTCTGCCAATAGTGCAAACGGGACTAAACCCCAGACTTCAACACAGCCTAGCGTCACTGGCGACGCCCCCCGGAGATCCGAGCTGCAGACTGCAGAGAGATAAGCAAGCTTTCACAGCGCTGCATGGCCGGCGAGTTGAGAACCCGCCTACTGTCACCATCAGAAGAGAAACTTCGAGGTTGAGCATCATGGAACGTGACAAAACAAATTATCACAAGCCGTATTCGGGATGTTGTCATTGCCCAATGTGTTGGGGCACACACACACTTTGCAAGCCAAATATGTGTGTTTCCTTTCTCTCATCCTTTAACTGCGCTGTCTCTCACTACTATGTCTTCCTCCACATCCGCATCATTGCTCACCAGCATGTCCACCTCCACACCCACTGATGTACGTCACACAATATCCTCCAATCTATATCTTACACTTCGCTTAGACTGTACGCGTTGTTCTCTTCTCGCCCAACAATTCCAGTGCGGTAACGCTGGAGGTCCCTGTTGAGAAGGCAGAGCACGTCCGCCCAGGAGACTTACTGCTTTGGTTCGGCGTAACAACTTTTCGAAAGGCCGAAATTTCCAATGCTTCTATACATTGCAGCATATTATTAAGTGCTCTTAGACTGTCGAGAGGCTCAGAAACCTTAATGACTCTATTTTGAATTTAGAGGTCTATTGTTATATCCGTGCCGGAAAAGAGAAGGAAGGAAGAGGGAGAGAGGAGGTAGGTTCCGGTCCGAGACGCAAGGGAGGAACAGATGAGATGCCGAAGTAGAATTCGGGCTAGGTCGAACCCGGAACTACGGATATCAAAACCACTACACCACAGGTAGGTTAAGGATGAGTGGGGACTGTCAGCCTACACGAGAGGAACACAAGGAGGGAAGACAACAAGGGCGGCTAGAACCCGCAGGCTGGTGGAAACCGATTCGCAACAAGACCAAGGCGGGACTTGGCCGGGCCGGGGCAAGGCCGGACGAAGGAGGTCACGTGATCGACGAAAGGTCGGCCAAGGCTATAAGGAGCCGGACGAGTTCGGACGAGGATATGAGAGGCGTCTGAACACAAGACCAAGAGTTGTTGTCAAGAGGAGAAGTCCGGACGAGAGGGAGATGAGCGGGAGGAGATCCAGACAGTAAGACAGGGAGACAACGTTAATTATCAAACTAAGGAATACAATCGGGAGACTGTAGGTATTTAAAGTAAGTACGGAGATATATCCAAAAGAAGCCAGAAGTATGTACAAGACAATAAGAACAATAAGTAAGAAGTGTGGTACAGTAGTAAGAACAATAAAGCAAGAGATGAGTACCGGACGAGAACAATAAAGACAATAAGAGAGAAGCATAGTCATATGATGCATACCAGTGATGCCGGGACCTTCCCCCGGCATATGACATAATGTTGAGTCCGTAGGAGGACTGCAGAGTTCGATGCAAGGCATCTCACGTCCGAGCGAACTGAGGATGAGGGGATGAGTCCGCAGGGATGTAGCATGGCTGGATAAGGGAATTGATCGGATCACCGGCCGGGCCGGGGGAGCCGGGCCGGACGGATGGCCGGGTGAGCCGGGCGAACAAGACGGACATGCAGGGAACTCGAGGATGAACAGGAATGGATCCGAGGGAGGTAGAAGTGAATCCGGATGAACCTTGGGTGCGCCTCGTCCAATGTCTCGGCTGAGTAGGTGTCATCAGCATAAGAGAATAGGAGGAGTAGCTGAATGAACGGGATAACCAAGTCGGATGACTTCCACGTTGATAGGGCCGCTCAGCGGCTACGCGTGAAACCACAGAAATTTATCGATTTCTGTACCTATCAGCGGGAGGAAGTGAGGCTAGGATTACAGAAGATATACTCTACCTCGAGGGTAGTATCTTATTGCTTAGGATGGCCGATAAGCCAGCGGGACATCATCATCTGGTAGCGGGAGCTTAGCGACGTTTTCCCTAAACATGGGAGCGGGACTCTGACTTCAACTACTACTACTGTTGGGCCAAGGGCGTAGCGGGAAACCGTTGCCTTAAGGTGCCGGAGGCCACCAAGAGGAACTACCAAAACCCTGAAGTTAGGCGCTAAACCGCCGACCCACCATAGACGAATCAGACGGACGGACAGACGAACTCATTAGTACTGGCGGGAACATGCCGCCGGGAACATCACCTTCGGCGGGTCGAACAAGACCTCACAGGAGGGCCAGATCAAGGAAGACTTGATCCTACACGAGCAGCGGGCTTATCGCCGAGTACCCGACTAGCCGGCGAGTGGACTGGATCAACCGGGGAGCATCGGCTGCCTCGGGTTCACTAGCGGGGAAACCAACCGACGATGCCGGTGTCAAATACCGTTGATATCGGGGAGTCTCTCGGCGAGTGGCGAACCTCTGGATTATATCGGCTTGCCCTGCTTCAAGCGGGAGCCTCTTTCCTGATGACAGAAGAACTTAGAAGAACTTGACCGCACTCGAGCCGCCACCAGTACGGACGGCGGAAGGTGACCTTGACCTTTGCTCGACCAGCGGCAAGTAGCCATTATGAAGAAGATATTTCGTGTCTCTCCTTGAAGACATGGCAACCAGCACGCCATTGCACTGCAATAAGGCGCTATACCCACCCGCCCGCATGGACTTTCTCCGGGAGGCAGTCTTTTCACTCACGACTCGCAATCCTGAATATACCATTGGTTCCCAGCGGGCGCGGCATCACTCTTGGACACTCTCTCATCATGATTTTATTTGGTTGTTTCTGCTCCCGTTGGATGTATTTAATCTCCCGCTGTACTTTTGGTTACTCAGTCAATTACCTACCCGTAGACAAGGGCAGTTTGTAGCGGACTCTAGAAATTGAATTGAACTTTGAAAGAGACTAGACTTGATATCTGAGAGAGATTCGAGTGATACGGAAAGACTTGTGGCATACCGAGCCGCCAGAACTTTGAGAGCCCCGCCAGCCTTTGAGCCCGAGCCCTCCTGAAATACGAAGCCCCGTTTCTTGCTGTTCCGCGGTATAACCAAGACCCCCGTTCGAGCTTGACTCCGCGCCGTCGACGCCCCGTGTGCCAGCCGTTCCGCGGTATAACCAAGACCCCCGTTCGAGCTCGCCGCCGCGTAGTGGTGTAACTGCCCGGGTCACTGTTAGTGTCCGCGCCATCGACATAAGAGCCCCGCTTCTCGCCAGAGCCGCGCCGGTCGTATAAGAACCCCGTCCCGCTGAGCCGCGCCTTCTGCCCGCCGGTTGTCATCCAGAAAGCTTCTTGCCGGTTGACGATCCACTACCGGGCGACGCTTTTCTATTGGCACGGAGACCCTCCCCCGCTAGACTCAGAATTTCTCATTTCGAAGTCTCAGAAAGAGTGACTCTTCGCTTCTCCCGCTGCGAATCGTTTTGCCCGCTACGTTCTCGCTAGACAATCTAGTAGTTCGTCCCGCTCAAACGTAGCGACCTTGATTGATTGAAGCTTGCACAAGTATTCTGAGGGACGATACGTGCTCCCGCCACCCCCGAACACACACACACACACACACGTCGTATTGGATTAGATTTTGTGATTTTATATTTCGGTATATTTCACGCCTACACCTACACGCACCGTTTCATCTGGAGCCCACCGCGAGGGGTGACAGATTATTTGTGTCAAGTCGAAAGAAATCGCTTGTGGACGCTGCTATAACCTAGCACGAACCATCCGCCGGTTGACTCGAGAATAGAATATACACCCGCCCGTTGAGCCGTTAGCTCCAGGCCCGCTATAGAAGATTTTGCCATTTAGTTTCGGAGGAGACGTGGCTTCAGAAGGACGATCCGCTAGAGCACCACCACCAAAACCTCGGTCAACCAACACTAGCCTACGTGCCGCTGCCGCTGCTCTCGATCTCGAGACTGACGATCCTTCCCGCCCGCCTGTTGCTCTTGCCCGGGAACTCTATTCTCTGCGCGGACGAACCCAAGCTCACGCTTATCGTACCCGCCAAACCCAGTTGTTGAGCCCCTCTGCTCCGCTGGAACAACAAACCTCAACTCAACCGCCCGGCACAAGACCTGTTACGCCCGACGGTGCAGCTACCCAGTCGTCAACGACTCTTTCGTCTGTCTCTTCACCACTACTCAACACTTCACCAACCCCTTCAAATAATCCGATGGCTGACGACGGCAACAACAACCCTGTCGTTCGAGGAAAGAAGCGCGCGCCGGAACCATGGGACAGGAACGCCCCGCTCTTCAAAGAGGAAGAGCCGGAGGAGCTTGTTCGTTTCCTGGACCATGTGGAGCGTATGATGGAATTAGATGAGACGCCGGATGATAAGAAGAACGAGTTTGTCTGCCGCTATACTGCTCAGGCAACCGCCGAGGAGTGGCGGCAATTCGCCTCGTATTCTAAGAAGTTCGACGACTTTAAGAAAGAAATCCTGGAAAATTACCCGTCCGTAGTCGACCAAAAGAAGGGCTCTGTGCAGAAATTGCACCGGCAGCTTCGTAAGTTCACGGAAGAGGGGATCGACCGGGACGATGAAGACGAACTCATGCGCCTAATGCGCGTCATGAACGTCGAGGCGAACAAGCTTCTCGATTCGAAATTAATTTCGCACCGGGAGGCTCTCCCGATGTTCTTCTCCAAGTTGAGTCCTGAGTTCAAGGAACGGATTCTGGAGAACCTCGAGCGGAAACCTCCCGCTGCCGGGGATGATGCTGACGAGCCAGAGGTCCGCACATGGACGCTGGCCGAGGTCATGACTGAAGCCAAAAGGATCGCAAAACGCTCGACCGCTAACTCTGAGTTCTTTGGCGCCTCTGACCGGGGTTACTCGAGCAAGTCCAAGACCTCCAGCGGGTCTGGAAAGGCGTCGAGCGGGCGATCCATACTACCTCACCCAAACGTGACGGTAAAGAAAGAAGAGGAGGACCCTAACAAGTCCCTTCTTGAGACGATTAAGGTGTCGGTCGTCACTATGATGGAGCGGCTGGATAACCAGACCTCCCAATTAAAAGAGATCGACGCCGCGACCAAGAAGAGG